GGATGTGTATATATACATATATATAGCAATAGAGCAAGCGAAATCTGTAAATTTAGATCACGCTGAGAGAGGTTTTATTTTTAATTGTTATTGAAAGTGAAACTATAAATAGTTTTGAAATCTGAGCACACTCAACTCGTTAACAACTGCTGGGCGAGAGAGACATAGATATAGACAGATAGAGAGAGAGGGAGAAATATCAGATCGAGTCTAGACGCAGAGAAAGATTTACATATGAAAAAAGTCGTTGATTGGGCTTCGAAAGACGCAGAGACAAAGCCAAATGGGGAAAAACAAAGTCAACAACAGAGAAAAGTTTTAAAAATTATGTTAATCCGCTCGCTCCTCACCAGACAACATCCTGTCCAAAGGGTTCTGTAGCCCTTTTTTCCGCTTGGAATTTCAATGAATCTGTCGTCATTCAAATGCAAAGGCATTCGCTACAGAAATTAATGAGACTATCAAGAGAAATAGACAGCGTGAGCAGCGACTTCTAGCTACCTAGCTACCTGCCACAACAAATTGTGTTCCACAATTACCTGGCTTCACTGTGACTCAACCGCAAGGCAAATCATATGTAATTATATACACAGAGAGGCCAAGGGCAGACTAGATAGAAATATTATTAGAATTCCGATTGAATTCAGCTCTTTTGATTTGTTTTTGCGGCAAATGAAATTACTATCGATACATAATATATATTTGTACATATGTATGTATGTATGTTTGTAACTGGCTGCCTGAGCAGCTTTTAATTACTATAGGGGCAGCCAGGCAGCCAGGCAGCATCAGCAATTCAAATCGCGTTTTAATAGTCGTCGTAAGCATCGTAAATTAAAAGCTTTTAACAATTTTCTTTGCCTTTTCCCTGCTGCCTGCTTGCGAAAGGCCATAAGAGACAATTCTATTGTTATGATAAACCAACTACTTTCCGACCAACTTTGGCAGCTCTTTTGTCTAGGGCAGCAGCAGCAGAAGCAGAAGCAGAACAAAAAGAGTCAGACAGAATATGTGTAGTACGGTATATAGAAATGTGGCCAAGACAAACCTCTCTAGATTTCGTAATATATAATTTCAGCTAAAATGCGCATGTGCAAGATCTCTGACAGAACATTGCATAATCATAATCATTTCGGTCTTTTATTTTGTGATTTTTTGTGAAGTAGGAGTGGCTCTGCATATTGCCACATCATTGCTGCAAGGTGCGCCTCTAGCCAGGCTGTACTGTACTTAGCTTGTGAGATGACAAAACAACCTTTGCTCAAACTATGCTAGCTAAAACTCTTAGTCGAGTACGATAGAGCGATCGTTGGTTGTAGGTCGCCAAATTCGCAGTTAATTGTTGCACTTACCACAAAGTCAAAAAATTCAGTCAATAAATGCGGCTCCGCGTGGCCTTTATGTGCGTGTGTGTGTGTGTGTTTTAGTGGTATAGAGTCAGTTGTGAAAATGTCCAAATCGCGCATCAATGCAGGAATTTCAATTCAATTGAATTCATTTGTGGCAATTATTTACACTTGGACTATAAATCAATGCAAGCGGCTATTGTTGACTCTAAGCGAAACTAACCACGGCTCACTTTATTGTTATTATTCGCACACCGACACTAACACATACACATACATATGATTATTATTATGTTTTTCTTTTTGTTGTGTACTGTTTGATTTGGCTTTCTGCTTAAATATCGCCGTTTGCTGATTTGATTTGACTCAATTAATTTCTCACTCGCGCACAATTCGATTTCCGTTTGTCAAACGTTTGATTTCCTTTTCGCTGCATTTCCGTTTGCTGCCCCGCCCCGCTCGCTCGCAATGGCAAGCAGGAAATTTACACAAATAATAAACAAAATGCGTCGTCGCGACGACTGCACTTCCAGTTCCACTTCCAGCAGCTCCTTCGTACGCAGCAGCGCAGTTGCGCAGGCGCAGCAGAACAATACGAAAAATCTTAAAGCGCGGCGCTAAGCGTAAAGAGTACCGAAAAAGAGGCGAGCGATTGAGCGGAGCGAACGTGCGCTACGTTGTGACTGGCGCGACGGCTGCTTGAGCACTGACTGACTGAATGGGCTCAGCAGCGACAAGAGCAATAGCGCAGCAGCAGCGGCAGAGGCAGCGAAGTAGGAGCGAGAGTGTTAGCTGGCTGAGTGACTGCGCGAGGGCAAGTATAACAGTTTACAATGCAGTGCGTTTGTATGAATAGCTGTTATAGTTTGTTGCACACGTTCTGATGCGTTATATTTCTATTAAATATTTATTGCTGATGCATTACATATTTTTGGTGTAACTTTTTTAACGTAGTCAAGTAGATAAACTTTAGGCTGACATTTGTATGTTGAGTAATATCCGCCTCGATGGCATGATGACAAACCACTCTCTTGCTAAAATGGACTTTTTGATTGATTTATGCCTTAATGCCTTAAATATGGCAAACATCTTGTGTTTTCTAAATGTTATTGTTTTGTTTTTATGCGGATTTTGTATAACTGGTTTGGCCAAACGACTTTTTCTATCAATAAGTCTAAGGTTTGGTTTTCAAATATACATATTAACAAAGTTTTTGTAAATATATATGTTTACATCACCTTTCTAGCTACCCTCGCCGTATGTAATGCACTCGCTCTGCATGCGCTCTGCGCTCACACTTCGCTCTCTCTCTTTGTGATTGTTTTGGTGGTGGGTTTTTCGAAAGAAGAGTGAGGGAATTAAGAGAGCTGCACAGATTGCTAGACCTAGACGATGCCTGCTCGCTCGCCTTTGACTTGAGTGAAGAAGAATACTTGATGAAATATTTGTAGTTAATAATATTGCAGTGCATTGAACTCACTTCATCCTACTGTGGCAACTCCCCCTGCCGCTGAGGAATGCGGAATCTGTGGCAGGAGGCGTCTCCTTATTTTGACAGCTGCCAGCGAGATTTGAGATTTTTACGATGCACATCTTAAATGCGTATTTCCGTGCCTTTCAAAATGTGTTCTAGTTTCAAATCGATAAACCCATTGACTGGCGAGAGAGGGTAGAGGAGTACCCCTCTGAAGTGGCTCTGGCACCGAGATACGACAACAGATCAGTGCGCGCTCGTGCGCAAAGTCAATTAAAATGATCACAACAACCCAAACAGCAACCCTTCCCCTCTGTCTGTGTGTGTGTGTGTGTGTGTAGGGGTTGTAGTTGCGTTGCGCGTCTGGTCGGCGTTGATTACATTTGCCCATTAAAAATCATTAAAAACAGACGCGCAACTAACAGACATAAATCAAAGAAATGAAAAAAAAAAAAAACCCGAAATGAAGGATACACCAAAAATGCCAAAAGGTCCTTGCGCATGCCGCGCACGCGCTTCAAGTGGGCTGCCCTCGCGCAGTGGGTTTGTTTTTTAAAGCTTTCGATTAGCTAATGTTGCCGCCCATAAATCAAATTCATCGCACAATGAATGCGGCGGGTTCATTAAAAAATTCAGCCTAAAATAGAGAAGCAGAAGAGGAAGAAGAAGAAGAGTGAACCGTTAGTTTGTTACCAAATCAAAAGCGGTTTATTTTGTTTATGAATTGCCATAGATGCGAGAGTTCGTTGCTTGAGTCTTTCGATTCTGTTTAGCCGGCTGACAAAAGGCCAAGACTTGCTGACAACAGCGCATAGAAAAGAAGATAAATGTGTGTATGTCTATATCTATGTGTGTGTGTTTGTAGATCATAAAACAACAGACACTTCCTCGAGGATGCCACGTCGAGGGGGCAATCACTTGTCGCTGTCATTCGACCAGCCACTTTTTTATGGTTTTTCATTTTCCCGAAAACCCAGCAAAGTAAACATGAGTGCTAGGAAAATCTCAGACAGAGACAAACCACCGACAGTGGTTCACCACTTGTGCCCCTTGGCATTGCTATTGAAAATCGTAATTTTGTTTACTTTTCACTCTCCGTTTTTTTTCGGGTACTTTAACAGGACCGTCTCTCCTACTGACTGACTGTCTGTCAGTTTGGCAGAACTAATTTATGCTCAGTGGCCATGTGATGCCTGACCGTACTTTTGGGCTCTCGCTCTCGCTCTCGACCCTTGCTCTAAACCAATTATACAAATTTATGCGCGTGATACTTTAGCTATGAAGTAGCGCTCTGGGTAGAGTTGTTACCCATAGTACGTCAGGTGCTTTTCATTCCCATTCCAATTCTTATTCCCGGTTGCCATGTGCATGTCCATGAAATATAAAACATTCTATGAACGCACTACCATAAATTGTGTCACTAATGCAATTTCGCAATTAAAGTGCAACAAGAAAGTAAAGACAGATAATCGTCTCATTATGTCTGTCTAGGGTTGTCGGCATATATCAAATATATCGATATTTTTGCAAATGATATTTATATCGGGTTATGTTTTGGCCAAATATCGAATTTTTTTTTGCGATTAAAATTAAACAAGCAAGAAGGCTCTAGTCGAGACTGCTCGACTACGAAATCCCCTAAGCCCTTCGAGGTGATACTGATATTCCAATAATTATTACACGCACACAGTGACGACTAATTAACTGTTAAGATCTAGCTGATACTTTATCTGAGATCTCTATAACGCTAAGATATAATGGGTCTGATCTTCTGTTAAGATCATATCAAGATCCCTTATCTAGGAGCGTGAAAAATTTGATCGCATTAAATCCTGATTTGTAAAAGTCAGTATAAGTGTTAGATATTCGATGGAATTAAATACAGTTACGAGATCAATCTTTTGAATCTGTTATGAAAGAAATGGAAAACATTGCAACGATATGAAACAATTTCTTCGTGCGATTTTGCCATTAGCATCGCATGATAAATCACTTGACATTACAACGGAAATGTGAGCTTTAGCTAGATTTGCTAGATATAAATAGTATGTTTAATGTCTGGTAACAGATCGATCTCTGCGATCTGACAAAATGTGATTCGAACGTCGTATGCAATTAAATTTGAGCTATAAAAGTGCCAAACTCTACTGCATAAATACCATTGCGAAGCTGAAAGCAAACGAAGTGGATCAAAATGAAGTTTCTCCACCTATTGTGTATTGTGATTTTATTGGCAATTTGTTCGAGTGCTCTAAAGTATGTGTTCGTTCCTGAAAACGAGGACTTTTTCGAAGAGTGTCCAAATGAAAAAAGTAATGTCCTCAGTGTGAACGAAGCCGCCGATATGTCACAGATGACATTTACGATACAAGATGAAGTCATATTAGTTTCGGGAAATGTTACCTTCACCTGGATGATTGAAGTTGGGGATCGCATTCAAGTACTTTTTGCTCTTATGTACGGGTGAAAACCATTATTGATATTTTCATTATGCTTAGGCCTCTTTTTCAGCACTTAAATATGATCGTGGAACGTGGCAGCAAACACCATACAGCATGAGAATCCGCGACTTTGTACCAGCTCTGTTCGACAAAAATCTTGACTTTTACAAGTATTGGACAAGTCATATAATCAATAAGGACGAAATCAGAGACACAATGTTTTACCCAGGAGTAGGTAACCTACGACTTTGCCTTTCCCCAATTAATTGTAATTTCAAATAGACTATATTGATCCACGAGCCTTTGGACATAAATGTGACAGTGGAATCCAATGGAATGCCCATAAGCGGCCGCTACAAGTTCACTACCATCATAAAGGCCTTTGACTCTAACAATGTGCAGCGTGATACATACATCTGCTTCATAGTAATAGGCGACGTTAACAGGTTGTAGATAAGCAGTAATGTTGTCGAATATATGTGAAAATATCAATATATCGATGTTTTTGCTTAAAAATTATATTTATATCGGAATATTTTTGGCGATTTTTTGATATCTATATCTTCTTTATGGGGTCTGCCACGGCTCCTTCTGTCTGTTATATACATTTTAACAAACCAGTATACCCTGATTTTCCATTTTTAATGGGCTTAAGGAACGAAATATTCGGACTTTAAAAATCGTACAGACAAAAGTAATTTGTGCCTTAAATAAATAGAAACAAGTGATAACACATCAAAACTCATTAAAATTATATGACGTATAGACCTCGTTAATCTTTGAGTACCGAATACTTAATTCAAGCGGTCATTATTTTAATAAAAAATACTTATTCTTAGTATTTTTGTTTTTTGGGATGGAATATAAATTTATTGTGGAAAAAATAAAAAAAAAGTCCAAAAATATTGATATGTAGATTTCTTAAAGTTGCATATCAAATTGATATTTGATATTATTTTCAAAACTTAACATCATCGTTTCGATATTTGAAAGATATTCGACAACCCTAAATCTGTCATACTTTTCTGCTGCACACGATAGAAACTTTACCTGGTCTACTAGGTAAAGAGATCTTATTTGAAGATAAGTTTAATTAGGGTTTGCTAAGAGGAGTAGAAGAGAACATGTTGCTAAAAGTTATAAAATTCTTTTTAAAAACTCAACTGTTTAGAATAATGCTATTAATTCTTCTCCCAATATATAACATTCTCAAATCCAAACATCCAAATATTGGATGATAGTAAAAAGTTGTTATTGATATACTGAGCAAGCGTTGATATTGTAAACTGTTTACTCATCATATCATCATATCGAATGCTATTTGTGCATATTATTTACTACCTGTAACTCAATATGCCCACATATAACTCGGTATGCCATAAATATTCTAGATATGATTGTGTCAAAACTTCTGTTAATCCATTTTGTTATTGATAGATAAATTATTTGATATATAATATTTGTAGGGCTCTTTCAGATATTAAATAAATAGTTACCTCAATCTTTTACAAATTTACAGATATTAAGGTTAACAGCAAGCGCGCTATATAACTGTTTTACAATCAGTTAGGGCTAGACTTGAGTTTTGTTAATTTTTTTTAAGTGTTTTATTATGCAACAGGGTTTTTTTTTTCTTTGGAATATAAAATAGTTTTGCACACACCTTCTCATCGTTTTATATAAATGAATAATGATTGATTGTTGCCTTGATAAGAGTGCGTAATGAAGTGCCTAGATTTGTGGGCAGTGTCCGAGAGAAAACGTTATGAATTGATTGAGTATTTTTGTGTATTTTTGATCAATTCTTCAGCATGGCTAGTTAGGCAACTTTTTATGAGCTGACCATATTATACTAGTTAGTTAGACGTCTATCAAAAGATAGATAAATATACGAGTATATAGTTATGTAGTATATAGTATATATTAGATTTCTGCTGTCAATTTATTATATACAAGTTAGGTAGCATAATTATTTATTATTGTTATTTTAATATTATAAATATTTCTAACAATTAGAATTTGACTAATTCATACTACTGGGTCGTTGGAACTCCTTCAAAGTTACATAAAGCTCTGCCAGTTTGAAGCCATTTTTAATGGTTAGCAAAAAAGGCTAAAAACAAAAGTTTCTGGAGGTAGTAGGAGTACACCGCTCCCCTCTGGATTGCCTCCTGTGAGGATTGAACTCACGACCCCTGGTTTACAAGACCAGTGCTCTGCCACTGAGCTAAAGAGGCGTCTGCTGCAGAGGCGCTTAAGTAGAGAACTTGTGCCTCGAGTCGTGTTGTCGCCATATCTTGTATCTTGTATCTTTGCAGCTTGTATCTGGCGCGAACACATGTTGACACAGTTGTCGCCTGCTGCTGATAACTGTGTTTCAGCTTGCAATATATATATACACTATATACATACATACATAGTCGTAGCAAGGTCAGACAAAAGACCGGATATTAATTTTTCAAAAATTACACACACACACACCGTTTCAAGCAATTATTATCTTAATAATCATCATCATCTTCAAGGCGCATCTGAGTCAAAGTGGGAATTGAAGTTGTGCCTCGGGCTGCGCTTCAGTGGCCCATGACAATTAGGGCCATAGAAATTCGGCGTTTGGCAGGCTCTGCTCACCTGTTGGCAAGTGAAACCCGTAATGGAACTCGAGATGCCGACGAAGTTGGATGTGCAGATGGAGTTACATCCATTAGGCTTCGAAATGAAAACGACATGCCCAATGAACAAATATTTTCACATCATCATTTTGATTACCGCAGTTTATTGTTGTAGTAGCTCGTCTTCTTCTTCTTCATTTTACGCGCGTGTGTGTGTTCGATTTCAGTTTCGAGGCAGCAGTGCGTGCAAAATGGATCAACGATCTCTGCGCGCTTCACTGACCCATCTTTGTTGCCGACCAAATGCTGCGCCCCTGCGTCCCCCGGGCCAAATCCCATTGGCAAACGATTTCATTTGAAGCCTTCGACATATGATGCACACATTGTGGCCATCGAGAAGTGCACAAGGCGCTGCCCAAAGAAAAAAGGTAATTGCAATTAGGTGAGACAAACAACTGGCGCGTGCTGAGCGCGCACAGCCAGAGACCTTAAAACAATATATGTATATGTATACAGAGAGACATTTATATATGTATACACATGTACATATATGTATATGTATAGAACAGCTGTTTTACACATTCGAGGCGTTAACATCACACACTTTATCAAACCCATTCGAGTCAACGAGGATCTACAAGGGAGTTCAGTGTAGGCAGCTCATGTCGGACATATGGCAGAGCAGAGTTTTTCCTTTGAAGAATTTCAAATGATTTGGATTAGAAACGTAGGAATATATATACAAATACTATAAATAATAAATAAACACAAATAATGATTATAATAATGTATATTTAAATATAAGTATAATATATAAGCTGGCATAGAAATGTAAGTCCAGCAATAAAATATAAGTATAAGATTTCATGAAACTTTAGAAACTTATCATGCTCTTGATCTTATTAAGAAGAGTTCGACTAGTAGTTACCATTTAGAAAACAGATATAAATAGCTGCATCACATATATAGTAAAGCTTTCTTCCATTCACATATAACATACAAATATATAATGTACATATATTTAATATTCATTCATGTAAATATTCGATATAGGCAAATCAAATACAAGCGTCTTCATACAGTTTCAATGTGATCAGTTTAGTGGATCTTAGATGGAGAGAGTATGAGTGGAGAGTGCCGACTTATACACAAGTGGAGAGAGTATGAGTGCAGACAGCAAAAGTGGGGACTGCATAAGAGGAGAGTGCAGTAAAATGCTCGCTCTTATCAATTCATAACGGATTCGTATGCCCTAACGAAAATGATGTAATCACTATTCCTAGAGCTTTGTGCTCTGAGAATTTATATAAATATGATGAAGACTGCCAATTAACATAGCAATGTATATGTATATAATATTTCGAGTATACTCTATATATTTATAAATATAGGCTCATATTAAATTTGTTACATACAGATAGGTTAGATGAACAAATAGATATTAAGATAATTAGATCAATGCTGCTGTTGATGCTGATCAATAATAATTAATGTACAGACTTTATATGATGATATGTTGATATTAGAAAAAGGTTTAGGCAGTTCTTTATTATCTAAAGAGCTAGATTTATATCGTCGTCCTAATCAAGTGTCTAATACTTCATCTCCTTATATAGAGAAACGCGATCAGAGGATACATATGGGCTCTTCATAATCCACTTACTCATCTGGCAGCCCTATGCCTGTTGACAGAGACGTCAGACCGTTTAGTGGAGTCCTGGAATCAATCCATGCAAATTTTTACCATGCCATTCGAGCCTACATATTGTTGAAGTTCACATTCAGCTTCCTCATTCAATAGCTTTACACAATACCAAATACAGATTAACATTTTTTACATACCTTACAAAGTGCGAGCATAAATAATACAGCTCATATTCGAAAAATGTAGCCTTCATATATGACTAAGTTGAAAAAATGTAGCCCAAATATTGGTTATCAAACACATCTGTTATTAAGTACTTCTGTGAAGTTTCAATTTTGTTTCGCTCAAATCGCATTAAAGCAAAACCGCAAAACGATTTCAGGGCACTGATGGAGTGCATTAATTCATAGCAAATCCCATTCGAATTTTATTAGCTGCATTTAGCAGCTTAATTTTTTTCTTCCGTTTTTCCGATCTTTTTTTTATTGATCGACCCCGAAATAGGTGAACAATGCGGGATTTGGGTGAGAAATTGCCTGATTTAGTGTAAAATTGGCAGCTAACGAAATGAGCTCCGAAATGCTGCTGATAGCCCGAGAGCCGGAAAAGCAGATAGTCCGATAGGCGGAGAGCGCATATTTCAACAACTGCATAAAAAAAGGACGAGAGAGATGTGAGGCTGCGAAGCTGCAATTCGTCACAGGCTGTCAGAGGAACGGGAACTCATCAATCTCCCGGCTCAGGTTGTAACTGTATTAGAGAGGGGCTCGACGGGCTGACGTAACGATTTACATGCTCATTGTGCTGCAGGCTTATGTGTCCGGCGTGCTGTGCTACAACATGTCCTGCATGCTGCATCCCATTCTGCGCACGCGTCACGCGCAGCAGCAGCGGCAGCGGCAGCAATTCGCTTGCAGCTGTCGCCGTTGACGCCGACGCCGACGCCACTCGACACAGAATTGTAAGCCAATGTTGTTGTAGTTGTAGTTGTTGTTGTTATTGTTGTTGCTGCCTTTCAACCCCCTTCACTGAGTGCAGCGCACATTTGGCATTAGCTTTTGTTTTCCACTTGAATCGCTGCACAGTCGAGAGCGCATTTTCCATTGTTGCTTTTCCGTAAACATTCCGATTTTTTACTTGAGTTTTCACTCAGTTCGTTTTTATTTATTTTTTTAATTTTTATCGAGGCTCTTCATTA